CGCCCCCGGACGCCACACCTAGCACAGGGGCCCGGCGCCCGCCGCCGGCCGTCCAGGACCACCGCCCAATTGTCCCGGCAGGGCTGGGACCTCTGTGCCGTAAGCTGGGCCCCAGGGGCCGCACCCAGACTCCAGAGCCGTGCGCCCGCCCCGGTTCCCAGCGCCAGCCAGGCTGTGGCCTGCTGTCGGATGGGAGGAAGGGGCCAGCCGCCCGTCCCCTCCGCTGACCCGTCCAGACACACCTGGGCGGCTCGGCTGCCCGCGTGGCCCACAGGGAGGCTTTGTTCCCTGCTTGGCTGGGACACTTCCAGCCACCCTGGCCAGCAGGGCCACGGCAACCGGGCCCGGGGACGGGAGGGCCAGGCCGCAGCCAGCAGAGTCTGTGGCAAGGGAAAGGGCCCCTGGGGTGCAGGGCCAGGGCCTTAGGAGTCGCCGGGGTGAGGCTGCTTCTCCCCCAGCAATTTTAAAAGGCTCGAGGGGAGCACGGTGGACGGGACAGTTCTGGGTCGGACCCCAGAGGCTCAGAGCACCCTCTGGGGAGTGTCCAGTGAGGTCCAACCGGAAGGGCAGGAAGAGGGGTCTGGGAGGGCAGTGGTCACCATTCCCACATCGGGTGTGCCGGAAAGCCAGAGGTCCCTGACTGGTCCCGGCACGGAGGCCGCACCTCGGAAGCCCAGCAGGCCCGCCACACCCACCGGAGGCAAAGGGCAGGGGAGCCCCAGCTTCCGGGTGCCGCAGAAAGGTCCCCCTACCCGGCCAGACGCCCCTGGCCACCAACCCCCCAAGACAAGGCCTTTCTCTTACCTTCGCCAGAGTGTCCACCACGCCGGCCAGCGGCTGCTTGGCAGGGTACTTGGCCATGTCCCACTCAAAGTGGGTCACGAAGGACGGCAGGTCGACTGGAAGGAAACACGCCAGGTGAGGGCGCTCGCCGGCGCCCGGCTTCCGGGGAGCGAGACCGCCGGCGGCTGGCCGGGAGCAGCACCCCAAGCCCCTTGGGCACGCAGCCGCAGCCCGGGCGCTGGGGCGCCGTGCCCAGGCCTCGACTGGCCGCTCCCCCCGGAGGGCGTGGGGGAGATCCCAGCTTCTCGCAGGTGGGAGCCCAGCCCGAGACATTCTGAGGGCCCGACGCCATTGCCGGCCTCACCCAGGGCACCCCCAAGCTCACAAGCCCGTGCGGGGCCACCCGCCCAAGGATGAGCCGTCTTCCTGCAAGCGGGGACCCCAGACCGGCTGTGTTCAAGGCATCAGCCCCC